GGGGACGCTAAGCCCCGGAAGCACCTCAAGGTAGGTGAATTGGGCCATCAGGTGAAGGAACCTCTGCCCCTTTGTTTCATCATCGACCGGGTATCGAACCCGGTCCCTAAAGACTACGAACCCCGACCGGTAGCCGCTCGGCCTTCTACATGTATGTGGGCGCGTTTGTGTGATCATTAACGCCGAAGTGGTGATGATAAAGATTAAGCCACCCAAGAGGTGGCACGGGCATGAATAGCCCGTAAGCCGAAGTGGTCGTTAGCAGAACATATTCAAGCAGTTAACGTGTAAGTTAAATAAACCTTACTCAACACCACACACCCTTAATGAACATTAATGCGTTACCAACCTCCATAAAGATGTAATTATAAGCATTAACACCTTACCAATTAAATATATAATGAGAGCATAGGTACGTGAGATTATCAGATGAACACTCATTAGTTGACCAATTAATCTATGATATGTTCGCTGTCTTGACAAGTGAAAAGCACGCTGCGCGCCAGAAATTAAAACAATTAAATCTGCTAGAAAATGAACAAAGCCACAAGGGCCGTGTTGAGGATTCGAACCTACGTCTGAGAGGATCCTTGAGGGTCTGCTAGAAAACTTGTCTCAAGCACTATAATCTTCTCAATGTCATTTTTTGCTAATTGCAAGGAAAAAAATGTCGAATTGTTATTTTATTTTTGCAATTTAAGCAACATTTAGAAGTATTACTGTTCTAATAGTGAAGATTTGCCCATCTTATCTTGAGGTTATCTTGAGATGATTTCGGGGCTTTTTAGTGTCCCCGCGGCCCGGTCCTCGACCAGGCCTCCACCCCCAGGAAGCAGCCCGTGACAGCTGACTAACACTCGGGTACCTATTTTACTGCTAGGTAACAGGGGCATAGGGTGAAAGAAACTCTGCCCACTGTTTCTCGCCGCCGAATCCATGGCCAGGATTCATTAGGCATTTGCGAGTCCATTAACTAAACCTGTATATCTTTCCTGTTAATGGTGCCTTTGAATTCATTAAGCAGTTTACGAGCTTCGAAACTCCACAAGCCAATGCTATTATTATTATAAATAACTCTTAGCTCTTCAGAGGTCATAAACCGTTGAACAGATGTAAACTAAACCGCTAAGGTTTAGGAATGATCAACAGGTTTCGTAATGCTCGATAAATCCTTAAATTCTTCACCTTTTATCTATTGTTTCCTTTTGCTAGTGTCCGTCTATTGCTTCATTCTGCTTTCTTTAAGTATTCTTTGACTTTAACAATATTTTACCCACACCCTTTTTTTCTCTGATTGGGGAATTTTCGATACGTGTCTGATCAGCCTGTTGGTGTTGGTTGCTTGCAATCACACTTAAAGTGAAGATTTAGAAAAGCGGCTGTGTTTGAACAGCTTTCCTTTATGGTGTCTTAAAACGCTTGCAAATTATAATTTATTCATATGGTTTCACTTTTTTAATGATATGGATTTTGCTAGATGGGATATCCGACTTTATCCTGGTGTCTCTCCAGGATACCCCCTCTCCTCCTTTCTCTTCCCTTCACATCCTACTCTCTTCCCTCTTTCTTCTCTCTTCCTCTATTCTATCCCCCTCCCTCACTTCTCCTATTCCCCTTTTACCCCTTTCCCCCGTCTGTTCCTCACCCTCAACATCCCTCAATCTATCCTTTTTTTTTACCCTCTCTTCCAATCATCTCTCTCCTCAATCCCCCATTCTCTCATTCTCTTTACCTCTCTACCCCCTCCTCATCTTCTCTCTTTTCCTTCCTTCCTTTCATTCCCTTTGTCCTTTCCTCTTCTCCAGCATCCCTCTCTCTCACAATCTCCCTCTCGTTTCTTGCATCACCCTTTACCCGAATTAATTTCCGTTCACAGTTTCCGAGTAACTAGCGAAGGTACGGCGGAAGCAAGCCTTTGAAATCTAAGGAAAACACACAATATTTTTTTTTCAGACCTCATGAACCTCGCCGAGGGGGAGCACTAAAGTTGTCGATATTTCTCACAGCATGGCACTTGGGCCAAACCTGACTGGCTCACTATAATCTATGAGGGAAATTTGTGTGAAACTAGCCCCAAGCGTCTGACCGAAATTGATAGATAGCCCTCTATCTATTTTCATTCATTGATGTTTGTTATACCTCTTAACGTGTTGTTCTGCACTTGTTTAATTGATTTGTATTTGTTTTGCATTATTCAAGTTTCATTTTTATTTGTCTATCGATTTATCTCTTTCATAAACTATTAAATTGTCTCCGCACCTGAATTTGTAATTCTTTTTCTCTCGTTATTGGTAACTTCTTTTTCGCGTTCTCGTTATTGACGGTCTCGTCCGTCGGGGCCCTCTCGTTAGTGGTCTGTTGGGGGCCCTCTCGTTAGTGGTCTGTTGGGGGCCCTCTCGTTAGTGGTCTGTTGGGGGCCCTCTCGTTAGTGGTCTGTTGGGGGCCCTCTCGTTAGTGGTCTGTTGGGGGCCCTCTCGTTAGTGGTCTGTTGGGGGCCCTCTCGTTAGTGGTCTGTTGGGGGCTCTCTCGTTAGTGGTCTGTTGGGGGCCCTCTCGTTAGTGGTCTGTTGGGGGCCCTCTCGTTAGTGGTCTGTTGGGGGCCCTCTCGTTAGTGGTCTGTTGGGGGCCCTCTCGTTAGTGGTCCGTCGGGGCCCTCTCGTTAGTGGTCTGTGGGGGCCCCACTTCGCCTTTTGTTCCTCGGGCTCCCTCGTTAGCTGTCTACCTGCCCCCTTGGTAGGTAGTTATCCACCTAGTTACTGAGGTTCCGGGTTCGATCCCCGGTGCAGGGGTAAATAAACGAGCAAAGTTTCTTACACGCTGATGCACGTGTTCACCTAGCAATAAATAGGTACCTGGGAGTTAGACAGCTGCTTCCTGAGGGTATGTAACAAAAAGGAGGTCCTGTCGAGGACTGGGCCGCGGGGACGTAAAGCCCCGAAATCATCTCTAGATAACCTCAAGATAACCTTCTCCACTTCGTTAGCTGTCCGACTGGGCCCCTTCTATAGCTTACGAGGCTAATAGTGGTAATTTCAACCAGATCGTCTACATTACTTGTGTCGAAAGACTCCTATCCTAACCTAACCTAACTTATCCTAACCTAACCTAACCTAACCTATCCTAACCTAACTTATCCTAACCTAACCTAACCTAACCAATCCTAACCTAACCTAACCCAACCAAACCTAACCTTCCCTAACCTAACCTAACCTTACCGTTCAATGGTACACTTCGCCTTAATCATAGTACCACCTGTTCCAACATAATAATCCTCACCATCTCCATCCTCCCCAACATCATCATCATCACCATCATCCTCATCTTATCACCATCATGATAACGTAATGTTAAACCCTTGTTTTCTTCACCGTGTATTTCACGGGTCTTTTCACGATTCTTTGAAGTCATTTTTTGTTTCATCACGGGTTTAATTTTAATAATGGATACCTTGATATTTTTTTTGTTTGTTCTCTCTCTTTTTGAGCTTTGAAGCACAAGTCGGTTCTAAAGTCTAGTATCAACCATCATGCAACATTTAATTTTAATGTCATTATTTTTTTAAATTTTAGCAATAGCGAGTATGTGTACGGATCAAATGCTTTATTAAATATATATATAACATTAACCCTGAAATTCTTTCGGTCCAAAAAACTGTAATTATGTAACAAGCCTGTCATCCGCGGCGATTAAAGCCGATACAGGATGGAAAAGATGTAACGCCATGGTGTAACGATCTGTGACTACGACGTACCTAAGACGTCATAATAACGTCACACACCCTACATGCCCCCACACATCAAACAAAACAAAAAATATAGTATTTTATTAGGTTAAATTAGCTTAGGTTAGGTTCGTTGTTAGGACAGATTAGGTTGGGTTAGGTTAGCTTAGGTTAATTTATAGATTCGCGATGACGTAGAGGGCTGGAGACCTAGGTGAAAGGTCTTCTCCTAGAAGGAAGTTCTTCTCCTAGGAGGAAGGTCTTCTCCTAGGAGGAAGGTCTTCTCCTAGGAGGAAGGTCTTCTCCTAGGAGGAAGGTCTTCTCCTAGGAGGAAGGTCTTCTCCTAGGAGGAAGGTCTTCTCCTACGAGGAAGGTCTTCTCCTAGGAGGAAGGTCTTCTCCTACGAGGAAGGTCTTCTCCTAGGAGAAAGGTCTTCTCCTACGAGGAAGGTCTTCTCCTACAAGGAAGGTCTTCTCCTACGAGGAAGGTCTTCTCCTACGAGGAAGGTCTTCTCCTACGAGGAAGGTCTTCTCCTACGAGGAAGGTCTTCTCCTTCGAGGAAGGTCTTCTCCTACGAGGAAGGTCTTCTCCTACGAGGAAGGTCTTCTCCTACGAGGAAGGTCTTCTCCTACGAGGAAGGTCTTCTCCTACGAGGAAGGTCTTCTCCTAGGAGGAAGGTCTTCTCCTAGGAGGAAAGTCTTCTCCTAGGAGGAAGGTCTTCTCCTAGGAGGAAGGTCTTCTCCTACGAGGAAGGTCTTCTCCTACGAGGAAGGTCTTCTCCTACGAGGAAGGTCTTCTCCTACGAGGAAGGTCTTCTCCTACGAGGAAGGTCTTCTCCTACGAGGAAGGTCTTCTCCTACGAGGAAGGTCTTCTCATACGAGGAAGGTCTTCTCCTAGGAGGAAGGTCTTCTCCTACGAGAAAGGTCTTCTCCTACGAGGAAGGTCTTCTCCTACGAGGAAGGTCTTCTCCTACGAGGAAGGTCTTCTCCTAGGAGGAAGGTCTTCTCCTACGAGGAAGGTCTTCTCCTACGAGGAAGGTCTTCTCCTAGGAGGAAGGTCTTCTCCTACGAGGAAGGTCTTCTCCTACGAGGAAGGTCTTCTCCTAGGAGGAAGGTCTTCTCCTACGAGGAAGGTCTTCTCCTACGAGGAAGGTCTTCTCCTACGAGGAAGGTCTTCTCCTACGAGGAAGGTCTTCTCCTAGGAGGAAGGTCTTCTCCTAGGAGGAAGGTCTTCCTAGATCAAGTACGACTCGACTAACATGGGTGTCCCACATCGACAGGCGTGGGAACTATGGGTGAAAGACGTGCAGCTAACGGACGCTGGCCAATATGAGTGTCAGCTAACAACCAACCCTCCAGTCTCCTACTTCTTCACCTTAGTCGTCTCACGTAAGTCTTTCTTCTCTTATCGTCATAATAAAAGTAACACACATGCTACAAGTTTCAGTTGCACATTGGCTTGGGGGACCATTGAAGCTTGATTATATAATCCTGAGGGCTTCGTTTACATTTATTAAACAGTTCACTATTGGTTCGAAACTTGGCAAGTCATTGTTGGTGCTATAAAAACGTCGTTTCGTTTCGGAAGGCCAAAACCATTTAATTAAAGGAAGATGAATACATTTCGCAAGTGGTTGTGTAAATGAATGATGAATCTGGGCCATGATCTTGAACCAGACGACAACCTAGGTTGATGACTGAGAACCAGAGGGAGTACTGCTTCAAGTATCTCGGAGGTGTAGGAACACTTAGGTTGGTCTGTTAATCTCTAAGTGGGTTCCAAGTGACACCTTATTGGAGTTGTGTACCCTGTTGCATATGGAGGACAAGATGTGTTGCATCTGAAGGAGGAGGAACAAGTGGTGTGTTGCAGCTGGAGGAAGAGGAAGGTGTTTGTGTTGCATCTAGAGGAGAAGGGGTTGTGTGTTGTATGTGAAGGTGTGATTTTGAGTGATATTGATTATGAGTGCATTTTGAGTGTATTTGAGTTTTTTTCAGTGTATTTGACTGTATTTTAATTGTTTTTGAGTGTTTTCCAATGTGTTTTGAGTGATTTTTGTTTAGTGTATTTTGAGTTTTTCTTTTGTTTTTACTGCGTTTTTTGTTGTCAGTACTTGTTTGGTACTGGATTTTTTTTGGATGCGCTTTGATTGTTTTTTTAGTGTATTTAGAGTGCCTTTTATTGTATTTGAGTACATTCTAGGATTATTTATTTTCAGAGTTTTGGTTGTAGTTTTTCAGAGTGATTGAGAGTATTTTAAATATTATTAATGGCTTATGAAAGTTTTCGAAGGCATTTTGAGTATTTTTAAGAGTTTTCGCTGTTTTATGCGTTTTTTAATGTATTTTGAGCCTTTTGAAGTACACGTGAAGAAATTTTAAGCATTTTGAGAATATTTTAGGTGATTTTGTTAGTTTTTCAGAATTTATAGTTTTCCGTGTTTTTGAGTGTTTTTTTTGTTAATTGTATTTTGTCTTTTTTTATTATTATTTTTGTGTTAATGTTGAATGTTTTTGTTTTGTTTTGAGTAGGGCACTGTAATCACCTGTGGGTACAGGGCACTGTGCTTTTATTTGGCGTAGGAAAGGAAACTATCAGGGGGGAAAAGCACCAAGCCATTACGACTGTATAACACTTCGAAGGGACCAAGAATAGCACTTGGCATGGGACGGGGGAAAGGAATGGTACCCAACCATTTGGACAGTCAGGGACTGAACGCAGACATGCAAGAAGCGAGACCGTCACTCTTTCATGGGGAGGATGCACTATAATTACACGATAAGAGGGATAGTGCACTGTGATTACATGTTGGGATGTGAAGGACTGTGATGACTAGCTGGGATGGGAGTGCTGGAATTACATATTGGGAGAGATAGAGCACTATGATTTCAAGTGGAGAAAAGGGGCAGTGTGATAACATATCTTCAAAGCCATAAAAAACGATGGAGTGGGATGCAGGTGTGGGTTTATTATGTGTTATCAAAATGAAGGATAAATGCAACAGGAAACCTTTCGTGTGAGTGACAGATCTCACGCAAGAAAATCTCAATCCAATTCCAGCAAATTATGTGTTAGACTGGATATTATATCAATGGGATAGGACTGGACATTCTTTCTATAAATACTTATCGTCTCCTATTCCACATGCAAAACCATACAAATTAATCTTAATATAATTTAAGGCATACACAATAGTGTATATAGACCTAGTGTGTGGTCTGGTCAACACACTTCAGCCATGTTATTGTGACTCATCGCCTGCAATAGTGTATATATATATATATGTATATATATATATATATATATATATATATATATATATATATATATATATATATATATATATATATATATATATATATATACATACTACTGTATTTGAAAGAAGTTTTAATTTTGCCGAGTGTAATTGAATTAGAATTGTTTCACTGAAGCCCATTTTTGATAAGTGAGGAGAGTGGTTTTGTGGTCATCGTTCCCGTGAAGTCACGAGATCTGGGATTAATGATAGGCTGTTGTCAGTCACGCACCAGTGGCGTGTATGCTGAGTTTACACTTTTAATTCAAGGATACCTAATTCCACATTCCAACTTCCTTGCGTCGTACATTATGTAACAGTTACGAAAATAGCGGGTTGTTTCGTAACAAAAACATAAAGAAAAACTTTGGGTAACTTTATAAAATATTTTTGGTAAAAATTAGCTTGAAAAGTTTCGTTTCTCGCAAGACCTCGTCAGAGCCTGACAACGCCGAAGACATTTAGTAAAAGGCCGTGTTAAGCGCTAACGAAATATCTAGACAATATACACATACACTTGCCAATACGAGCCAAAAATTAATTAATAAATGAATGTTAAAACAATTGCATTAGTGCCAACCTCGCATGTATGAAGCAATATCAAATTTATTTTAATGACTCTTTGTTGACTTTGATATAGTGACCATGCAGAGCCAAAAAAGCATTTCAGTTGCTTTATTAAATATACTTCCTCTGTACCTACATATAAACCATTGTATATATTCTGATGCATATTTTATGAATGCAATTATTATTATTATTATTTAAATACCCTCAGGTGACTGTAGTCCGAATTACCCAATCTGGCTAGGAACAAAGCGAGACAAAATAATAAATCGGGCCCAGTTTAGCAGCCCACACCAGAACCTATTCTCAATCTTTGGGGAATTTAACCATGCACTTAAATCCGCCTGTCACCATTAAAGGAACAGGGCTCAATTTCCTCGGCTTTATCTATGGTTTATAGTGAATCGAGGACAGTGTGAAAGAACTACCAGACTGTTGGTGTGTCTTGGTTTCCCTCGATGAGAAATAATTACTTCCGATTCTATACCCTTTAAAAAGTTAATATCAAACATGAATATATGAATAATTAAAATACTCTCTATAAACACGTTTTAATTGAGTTCAATTATAATTACAATGCAAAACAGGAATAATATATATTTGAAATAATATCAGCACTAAACCTACTGCACTTTTCAGTAATTAACGAGTTGAAAAATATGGAAAAATGCAACTTAATTAATGAAAATTTTCCATATAATCGGAACAGACAAATGGAAGTGGAATGAACTATTAATTGTTGAGGATGTTGTCATCCGGTGAGTAAGTCAACCATGAGGAGGTGTGAAGGATGGTGTGTAGGATGTGGCAGAGAATGGTGTGATTGATGGATTAGAGGATGGTATGTAGGATGGTGTGAAGGATAGGGCAGAGGATGATGTATTCTAGTGTAGTGTGTAGGATTGTTTGTAAGAGAGTGAGCAAGGATGGAGGGCACAGGTTATTGCCCTATTGTCATCTCTTAATTACTATGGCTATATTGTATTTGGTAAATATATAGCTATATTGTATTTGGTAAATATGTAGCTATATTGAATTTGGTAAATATGTAGCTATATTGTATTTGGTATATATGTAGCTATATTGTATTTGGTAAATATGTAGCTATATTGTATTTCGTAAATATGTAGCTATAATGTATTTGGTAAATATGTAATGAGAGGAGTAATCAAGACCTCGCTGGCATACTTCTCTATTAACTCCTGTCAGATACTTGCATCAAGTCCATTCAATCTAAGTACCCCTTACAATCTATCTCAAATATTATCTCTAGTACAATTATCAATACAATTATCCACTCAACTCCACTTCTTCTTCCACGACTACTACATGGTTCAATAACTACTCTGCTTATTGGTTATCACATCTTCACCTCTAATTGCTCCTTATGTTGTATACCTTCGCCCTATACTTAGCTGGCCAAGACATTTCTAATATTAACGCGTGTCATATTATATATATATATATATATATATATATATATATATATATATATATATATATATATATATATATATATATATATATATATATATATCTCTCTCTCTCTCTCTCTCTCTCTCTCTCTCTCTCTCTCTCTCTCTCTCTCTCTCTCTCATATATATATATATATATATATATATATATATATATATATATATATATATATATATATATATATATATGTATATTAATATATTTATTATATTTTCACATTAATAGATTGTTTATTACAACCACCTGTCAGATTGCTAAAGTATTCTCTCCATCTATTTCTTAGTTTTTTCTTTATCGTTTAACATTATGTGGTGTTAATTATTAACATTCTCGGTGGCTTCCACCTTCCTCCTGGGAACTTTCTTGGTGCTTCCACGTAAAGATTCCGGTTTGGTTTTCTTCCAAACTTGTCATGAATCTAGATTTTGTCTGCTTAACCAATTATTTTCACATGTTTAACTAATATCATACACCCGGTGTGTCTTTTACCTCTAACTTTCCCACTCGCTACTCTCTCTCTCTCTCTCTCTCTCTCTCTCTCTCTCTCTCTCTCTCTCTCTCGCAGTTTTTATTGACGAATTTACTCTTTTTGAATTATCAACTGCTCCTGCTACTTTCTCATTCCACTAAGCACACACTTCTTCCATGTTCTTTTATCACACACACTCGTTTTTCCACACACTTACCCAAGCACTCCTAATCTCACATTCCCTGTATACACCAAACATTTCACCGCCATTATGTGAGCCTTTACGTGCACATTCCATAACCTGTGAAGTCTTGCAAATTGTCATGTTCTTGAATTATTCTGTCTCTTCCTCATGACTCTCTGTTATTTGCGAGTGTAATGTTAGGATTGAATTCCTCGCAATATTTCTGTTGGTTTTAGCTGCGTGTGTGTGTGTGTGTATGTGCGTGTACTCATCTAGTTGTGCTTACCAAGTTCGGGGGTTGAGTATCGGCTCTTTGGTCCCACCTCTCAATAATCAATCAACTGGTGTATAGATTCCCGTGCCTATTAGGCTCTATCATTTCTACATTTGAAGCTGTGTATGGAGACTGTGTGCCTGTGTGTGTGTGTGTGTGTGTGTGTGTGTGTGTGTGTGTGTGTGTGTGTGTGTGTGTGTGTGTGTGTGTGTGTGTGTGAGTATGTGAATGTGTTTGTGTATGTGAATGTTTAACTACATTATCTTCCTTCCACTCTCGTGGCGGACAGAAGCGGAAGCCGTCATCTCAGGTCCAAGCGAAGTCCACATCGAGGAGGGCTCTCACCTCTCTCTGGAGTGCCATGTACAGAACGCTCCTGTCCCCCCTGTCTACATTTTCTGGTATCACAACTCTACTATGGTTAACTACAGACAGGAAGTCCTCCAAGTAAGTACCAGATACGAATTTCTGCACACTAAATGTGAGGAACCCTCCAAACACACACCGAAACTACGACGTTGGTACAACGTTCGAACAAGTTTTAACACCACCTAACCAGTTATAACAACCAATATATCAAGTTGTAACAACGTTCCAATACGTCATAAACACATTAAGCCAAGATGTAACAACTTTATTACAAGTTGTTACAAGCAGAAAATAGAGACAGTTTTGGTTTGTGTTTCCAGGGAAGAAAGCTTATTGATTTGCTTCAGTTACTGAGAACATAAGAACAAAGGCAACTGCAGAAGGCCTATTGGCCCATACGAGGCAGCTCCTATTTATAACCCCCCAATCCCACTCATATAAGAAGAACATAAGAACATAAGAACATGAGATAGGTGTTGATAGCCTTGGATAATGATAATTAGAGGTGTTTACAGTAAGTTATAATTGTAAAGGTATAATTTTCTTCCTCTTATGAAGAAAAGTGTATAATTGTTCACATTCTTTTCAGGAAATTTGAAGGTATTAATTTTCCCACATAATTATTTACAATTTTATATCACTAAACTTGTACAGAGACGAAAAAATACAATAATAGCAAATAAATGAGTCCGATACAATAAAATACATGCCAAGTAGCGTGATGGTCAAGGAAAGCCAAGTAACGAATGTGTTAGAGGATGCCAACGTAACGTGTTTATATACGCAGGTTTGGCATCACAACTACACCAGCAGCCTTGTAGTGGAGAGGGTCCAACCTTCCCACGCCGGCACATACACCTGCGATCCACACCTGGCCACACCTGCCAACGTCACGGTTCACGTTGTTACAGGTGAGTGGCACTCCTTTCCCCATGAGCTCATTCACGTGGATGGCACTCCTTTCCCCATGAGCTCATTCACGTGGATGGCACTCCTTTCCCCATGAGCTCATTCACGTGGATGGCACTCCTTTCCCCATGAGCTCATTCACGTGGATGGCACTCCTTTCCCCATGAGCTCATTCACGTGGATGGCACTCCTTTCCCCATGAGCTCATTCACGTGGATGGCACTCTGTGGACTATGAGCTTATGCTGTCTTGCCACTTTACCATGCACTCTTATTTATTGTATTTTCACTCTAGTCAAATACTAGTTCATAGTTGGATTACAGGAGCTTCAGCCCCTCCCTCCCCCTCCCCAGCAAACAAACAGGTGAGCATAAATGAATGAGTACGATGAATTTAAATTGGGTCTTCAATTTGTGAAGTTTAAACGATAATGGTTTTCTATGCCTATTTGTTCTTAAGAACACTTAAGCTCGATAGATGTAGTTAATTGTAGAGGTTGGAACAATCCTCCTTTGGTAAAATAAAATAAAAATATTGTTCATTAGGAGAAAAATGGTACAAAACTATTTATTACTGTTAATAAACCGGATAATTAAAAATATTGATTATCACAGGTGCTTATAATGAAACATGCACTCAAAATATGCCTAATGATCCATATCCTCACCAAAGGTGCTCTAAACAGCCATTTAATAAATCACTGCTTCACCACAACCCACCACAACATGGTTTCATGTTAAAAAAAATTATTAGTAATTTGCATACACATCTTGTGACTTGCAATTCTGTTCAGCCAAAGAATCTTCCTGATATACAAACTAATGGAATAATAAAACGGATAAAATAACGACTAATCACAGGAAACCAGATGCAAAGAGTGTCGCCCCCTCTCCACGGCGTCGCAAGTTTCCAATGAAGAGCAAAAGCCAATATCTTCAATAATAATAATAATAATAATAATAATATCATTCCCCCCTTGAAACCTCTTATCTCCTCCGTTTTGAACTATTTCATGCTCACCCATTGAGTCCTTATCTTCATAAATATATAACCATTACAAACATTTTAAAGCATTGTAATTAAAAATACACTGCAATAAATAAATAAATATAAATTGTTTGTACATTTCCTCGTCGTGTTACTTAGTATGCAAAACAAAATAAAATATTTAAATCTCTGCCACACGCTCAAGCTCTTCTCCACGAGAGCAATAAACTTGTTGCAAACTTTATCTGGTGAAACAATTGATGGAACAACAGCAGCAACAACAAATGTATTATTCATCCCGTAAACGCTAGAGGAGATGGTGGGATCTTCCACTAGCCTCAGGCTGGTTAAATGTTGTGTAGTTGAGTACTCATAAAAGTTTTTACAGATATAGTGACAATCGTGTATATCAGGTACGACTAACGCAACGTTATAGTGACAATCAGGACTATCAAGTACATTAACTTAATAACATTATGAAGTTAACACACAGATTCTCTAACACCAACACCGTTGATTGACGGTTGAGAGGCGGGACCAAAGAGCCAGAGCTCAACCCCCGCAAGCACAATTAGGTGAGTACTAACACAGTATCTCTAACACCAACAGATATAACCCTAACACGGTCCTAACACTGGTAGATAGACGGTCCTAACACTGGTAGATAGATGGTCCTAACACTGGTAGATAGATGGTCCTAACACTGGTAGATAGATGGTCCTAACACTGGTAGATAGACGGTCCTAACACTGGTAGATAGATGGTCCTAACACTGGTAGATAGATGGTCCTAACACTGGTAGATAGGTGGTCCTAACACTGGTAGATAGATGGTCCTAACGCTGGTAGATAGGTGGTCCTAACGCTGGTAGATAGGTGGTCCTAACACTGGCAGATAGGTGGTCCTAACGCTGGTAAATAGATGGTCCTAACACTGGTAGATAGATGGTCCTAACACTGGTAGATAGATGGTCCTAACACTGGTAGATAGATGGTCGTAACACTGGTAGATAGACGGTCCTAACACTGGTAGATAGATGGTCCTAACACTGGTAGATAGATGGTCCTAACACTGGTAGATAGATGGTCCTAACACTGGTAGATAGATGGTCCTAACACTGGTAGATAGATGTTCCTAACACTGGTAGATAGATGGTCCTAACACTGGTAGATAGGTGGTCCTAACACTGGTAGATAGATGGTCGTAACACTGGTAGATAGGTGGTCCTAACACTGGTAGATAGATGGTCGTAACACTGGTAGATAGATGGTCGTAACACTGCTATTAATACGATGACATCAACATTTCATCAAATATGAGAAAATTCTTCTGCTGGTAAGATTCCAATATTTACATCCGTGATGCCCAACCGTCGCTTCACATAACTCACCGGATGTTCATCTTAAAATCCCGAACGGACAAATAATGGGGAACAATAAATGCGATTCACAAATATTCACGTTTTCTATGCTTGGACGACAGGTGAGGTTAGGTTAGGTATGTCTGAGGGATTTAGTACATCATCTTCTGTCCGTTGTGGACACTGGAAGGGGAGGGACTACGTTCACATAAGCACAATATTCGCATGGAAATACCACAGGAACCCTTACCTGTTTCTCAGTGCAAACAATACAATTAAGTCAATAGCACTTTATTTGCCAAGAGGACTTCGTAGTACAGCTGGCTACGTTCTCGAATCGCAATCGGGGTTCCCAGGTTCGATTCCCGTACGACACAAATGGTTGGGCACGTTTCCTTTCTCTTCTGGTCTCCTAGCAGGTAATAATTATTTGGGAGTTTGTCAATTGTTGTGGGGTTGAATCCGTAGAAGGGGTCAGTAGTTCGATCTAATTGGGGACTTCGTTATATGTCCAGCGAATACATGTACACAGACGTCCTGTCCCCGAGGAAACGAGCTAATATTGATGTTGACCAGACCACACACTAGAAGGTGAATGGACGACGACGTTTCGGTCCGTCCTGGACCATTCTCACAATCGACTTGAGAATGGTCCAGGACGGACCGAAACGTCGTCGTCTCTTCAACTTCTAGTGTGTGGTCTGGTCAACATACTTCAGCCACGTTATTGTGACTCATCGCGAGCTATTATTACAATTATTATCACACGGTTTTTTCATCAGCGTCGTTCATGCTCGACTGACAGAAAGAACGTTTTAATGACATAATTCCTTCTTACTGGCGTCAAACTTTTACGAAGTACAGATGCACATATCAAGATTTAATCTATATTCTATAACTAAGTGAGTTCTCACGTCTCTCAGCGAGACTGGTCGGGTTCTGCCAATGGGCAGGGAAGGGGGGACTGGACACCTAATCCTTTAGAATTCACCCGTGTTCATCCACGGGTGAATTCACCCAATCCGATTGTAAACCGATTAGCGAATCGTATTCCAGGGTAAAAAACTCTGGGAAGGATGAGTGCCAAATTTGCTAATAGTTGATATTTTATCTTTATGTTGAAATTATCTTATCTTTATTATTATATTTTATCTTTTATTGTAGACCTTATGGGGTACACCAGAATAAGACAAAGTTATTCCAAACACAACAGCATGCTGGAACATTTAGTTCCAAGCACTAAGGATCATTAACTGTAATAGCACTTTTTCCGTGGGGAATATTGAACTTTCCTGAATTAACCAGTTAAATTATGAACACATATAATAGAGAAGTTATATTATTCCTACGTATTCTGCCGCACCCTTCAATTCGAAGAACGAAACATTGTTCAGCAATGTTTGCCAATTTCAGCTATGTAGATAGGCAAACCGGCGAATAATTTAGGGCCGTGCATTATTTGTAGGAATGTCGATATTTTGCGCTGCTATGATTCAATGTAAACTAACGCTGGAGATAGCCAAGAGGTTATCTATCTTGATGGTTAACCTGAGGTGATTTCGGGGCTTAGCGTCCCCTGCGGCCCGGTCTTCAACCTCAACCGGTTCTTTTTTGTTACACATCTCTAAGAAGTAACCCGTAGCAGCTGTCTAACTCCCAGGTACCTATTGATTGCTAGGTTAACAGGAGCATCAAGGGTGAAAGAAACTTTGCCCATTTGTTTCCACCTCCGCCGGGGATAGAACCCGGAACCTTAGGACTACGAATACCGAGCGCTGTCCACTCAGCCGTCAGGACCCCTACAAGTTATATAATTCTCGTCCATCTATTATGACCAATGATTCGTGCTGAATACGGAACCGGGAAGAAGTAGAGAATGTGTTCAAACGTGTAAATTAGGCATCTGATCCTTATACGACTTAGACTATCTATGTTGAGGGTTCTTAACCCATGAGCATCCATTGCCCGAAACGCCTTGAGTAATAGTGGCTTCATAGTTTGTGTAACTTCTGTTCCTACAATTGTACATTACTCTTAGTAATGCTTACTAAGTAATTGTACTCTTACTTAATACTTACACACATTCTTCTGAGTAGACATTTGTATTTGTATACTACTACGAGGCCCTCGTAGGGGCCTCGTAGCCTGGTGGATAGCGCGCAGGACTCGTAATTCTGTGGCGCGGGTTCGATTCCCGCACGAGGCAGAAACAAATGGGCAAAGTTTCTTTCATCCTGAATGCCCCTGTTACCTAGCAGTAAATAGGTACCTGGGAGTTAGTCAGCTGTCACGGGCTGCTTCCTGGGGGTGGAGGCCTGGTCGAGGACCGGGCCGCGGGGACACTAAAGCCCCGAAATCATCTCAAGATAACCTCAAGATACTTGGGGTTGTGTGAACCAAATAAATGAGCAGGCGAAGAGTCACAATAACTTGGCTAAAGTATGTTGACCAGACCACACACTAGAAGGTGAAGGGACGATGACGTTTCGGTCCGTCCTGGACCAAACCGATCGACTTGAGAATGGTCCAGGACGGACCGAAACGTCGTCGTCCCTTCACCTTCAAGTGTGTGATCTGGTCAACATACTTTAGCCACGTTATTGTGACTCGTCGCCTGCACAAGCGCACTTAACTTCCGTTCTTACTAGACCAATACATAAGGCACGTTTATCTCTGTGATCGCCATGCTAACCAGGAATTTTCTCTCTTGAATTTGAATTTGTTGTTCTCAGTCCTTATGATAAAAACAATTTTTTTTTTAACCAAATGCCATCGTATCTAACTCGAAAACATTTAAATATAATTTTGAAATATAAAGAAAAACTCTCGGGCTTTGAGGATTCCAGGAAATATTACATTTTCAGGTGATAATTAACAATAAAAAAATTATTTCAATAAAAACACGAGCATACAAGTAAATTTAGTTTGGAATTAGAGAACGAATAGCAAACTGACCTTGCCAAACGAGCAGCTGTTTAAGTAAACTTTATAGAAGCTAAAGTTCCTCGAATTCCGTCCTCTATTTTTTGGAGTTTAGCGGAATAAGAGAGTTGGGAACAGATTGATGGACAGCGTAATGGACAGGTGGTCAGACGGATGAACAGACGGACAAACTGTTGGACTGGTTAACAGGCTGATGGACAGGTTGATAAATGGGTTACAATTTGATTGATGACCAGTTTGATGACACTTGAATGAGCAGCCAGTTTGATGGACGGGTAGCCAGTTTAATGGACGGGAGGACAAGCTGATGGACAGGTTGATAACTAGATTGACAGCTTGATTGACGACCAAGCAGTTTGATGACAGTTGAATGAGCGAATAAGCAGCCAGTCTGATAGACGGGCAGGACTTTTGATGGGATCAATTCTCTCTGATCAATGCAAGATCAGTGCTCCTCTGCCCGGATGTCATCACATTAACCCTGTGGCTTAACTGCGAATCTCTTGACGCACTGGAATCTCGAGACTTAAGATATCCAATCGGGACAATATCGCCCAATCATGCAACCGGCAGCAAGAAAATATTCTTTAAGACGCTAGGCCATAGAGGCGCTATTGGTTATTTCCTGGCGTCCCAAAACACTTGGCTTCTTAATGACTTCGTTATCGCCAGAAGCATCTCTTCTCCGGCAACTCCTTCCTTCACCTATAATGATCTTTTATCTCAAGTTTGCAAACCTCGCCGGAAGTTTTCTTTCACTAAGACGATAATGTCAGTCTCTTGTCTGCTGCAGCTTAGTGGCTTTGGCGAGTGAAGGATATTGTAGTTTCTCCTCTTGGGAGAGATAAAGGATTACGTTAGCGTGTAATTCAGTATTGTAATGTTTGTATTGTTCAGGTCGTTTGTTATTAGGTTATTTCTCATTTACGATCTCTCTCTCTCTTTTTCCTTCTTCGTGTCTCAGTTATACTGCTTTTCTGTTTCTCTCAATCTTAAATCCTCTTTAGCTTCTCACTCTCATCCGTCTCTCTTTCACACATACCTTTCAGCCCTCTTCCTCCTCCACCCCTTTCCCATCCACTCTCAATTCTCTTCCATGCACTCACACTCCTCTCCCGGATAAATAATCCATTTTAAATTTTAGATTACACATGAACAATTATACTGTGAAATTAATATACATATATATGTAAGAATCTAAAAAAAAAAATTTAAGTTACGGTCTCATACTACTGGAAAAAAATATTTACAAACCCGAGTCCGTGATTTACTTACCAATAATATTAGAAAAAACAATAAAAACAGGAGAGAGGGATCATGGAAAAACTATTTGAAACTGCATTGGAATATCGACAAAAAATGGCTAGCCACGTGTAACATATAAAGAAAAACTGATAAAGCTTTGCGTTACAAATTGTTATATAAAGCTTCAAAATAAAGCTAAGATTCTGCAGTGCAAGTATCATGACAGCAGCTGATGTGTTTCCCTCTTGCTTAGACTGTGGGAAGATATCACGTTAAAACCCTCAATGCCTACTTGCGTAGACTGTGGGAAGATATCACGTTAAAACCCTCAATGCTTACTTGCTTAGACTGTGGGAAGATATCACGTTAAAACCCTCAATGCCGACTTGCGTAGACTGTGGGAAGATATAACGTTAAAACCCTCAATGCCTACTTGCTTAGACTGTGGGAAGATATCACGTTAAAACCCTCAATGCCGACTTGCATAGACTGTGGGAAGATATCACGTTAAAACCCTCAATGCCTACTTGCTTAGACTGTGGGAAGATATCACGTTAAAACCCTCAATGCCTACTTGCTTAGACTGTGGGAAGATATCACGATAAAACCCCTAATGCCGACTTGCGTAGACTGTGGGAAGATATCACGTTAAAACCCTCAATGCCGACTTGCGTAGACTGCGGGAAGATATCACGTTAAAACCCCCAATGCTGATATCATGTTAAAACCCCCAAGGCACTTTCTGGTAATGAGAGACTTTCTTGTGAGACTGTGGGGAAAAGATGACGCAATATCCACATAAAATAGGCCAGCTTGGTCTCTTACCATACAGCACAGGAATAGATTAACTTCCAATGTAGTACACTGAAGTAGAACGCTGTTGCAGATAGCACACACACAAAAATACTGTTAAAAACTTTCTTCCAAAGCAATTAACAGATATAAAACACTGGGAAACTTCTCCTTTCAATACAGTAGAGTGGTTAGCAGGTTTCGTTTCAGTCCTTTTTTTCCAACCACGCTCCAACATGTAGACTTGTGCAACCATGCTCTCACCTGTGGCCCCCTACAACCATGCTCTGTCCTGTGGACCACTACAACTATGCTCTGACTTGTGGACCCAACAACCACGTTCCTACTTGTAGATCCTTACAACCACGTTCTCACCTGTGGACCCCTCTACAAACACGCTTTCACCAACCCCGTACAACAACGTACAACAACGTAAATCCTGCTCCTGTGACCCTAGAAACTAGAATGTGGTTATTTGTTCGTGTGAGTTAATCCCTGAAAATCCTCTTTTATCAGGATTCTATCCGACTCCCTATCCGTGATATCACAGTATTTGATCATTGTCACTTCAGCATATAACAGGATCTCAGAGCCAATATTATTTTAAAATAAAGTTTAACAAAGGAACCGGATAAAAATGGTACAGAATATCCTCGTATATAATAATATTAACCTTAAAAATATTACTCATGTTGGGTCTAAAAGGTAATAGAATTGTCACTTCGATTTGTAGGTAAGTTGAGAGAAACATGAAGTTATAAGAGTTTTGCGGTCACCAGTGACCAACAGACCAATTACCTTGCAACCTATTATCCCAGTGACCAATTACTCATCGGCTAATTTCTTTACGACTGATTTCCGAGCGCTTGCTTACCCTAGCGACCATTTTACCCATCGACCAATTTCTTTGAAACTCATTACCCCACGAGACCACTTACCCATCGACCTGTTACCTAGCGCCCACCTACAAAGAAACCAGTTACTTAATGACCAATCACCCAGCAACTAATTACGAAGCGACATCACGTTGAACCAGAACAACATTACCTCTACCATCCCAGGTGTCAGACAATGCAGTTAACTGTATTTACAGAAGAGGTAAATCGTCACTCCCTCGGGGGAACACACTGTCGGTTTGTGTAGCGACGAGCTTTAGGTAGTGAATATAAAGCTGCTTTTGGAGGCGTAATATCGCTGGCTGGTGGGTTAACTCCCTGCTGGGGAAGCGGGGGGGGGGGGGGGATGCCTACACGCTTTCTCACATATCACTCTAGACAAATCAATATGTATTTCAGTTCAGGATATACATTAGTATGCATGTAATGGTTCGCGTATGAAGAAATTTATGTTCACTTCCCTCGTCCGCAGACAAAAGACCAGCTGCAATGCAGCACGGCAGGAACCCAGCAGAGAGCAGCAGCAGCAGCAGCAGCAGCAACACCAGCAGCAGCAGCAGCAGCACCAGCAGTAGTGGGTCAACGCTTCAGTGGTTACAAGTGCCAGTAGTCGTGACAATATGTCTGCTGTTGTCCCTCGTGGCAACTGCCGTCTCCCTGCCAACACCGGACGCTTCCATTTAATAGATCAATTCTAAACAACTCTCTTTAAGAGATCAATCAGCTTTGATCTAGACTGACAGTATAAGGGGGTAGAGTAGGAACACTTGTTATATTCGAGAAGTTGAGTGTGTGTGTGTGTGTGTGTGTGTGTGTGTGTGTGTGTGTGTGTGTGTGTGTGTGTGTGTGTGTGTGTGTGTGTGTGTGTGGACTCACCTAGTTGTACTCACCTAGTTGTGCTTGCGGGAGTTGAGCTTTGGCTCTTTGGTCCCGCCTCTCAACATGTGTGTGTGTGTGTGTGTGTGTGTGTGTGTGTGTGTGTGTGTTGTGTGTGTGCGCGCGTGCGCTTGTTAGGCACGTGCGGACGCTCACCTGCGCGTGACTACGCTTTTTATAAATACATATATTTATATACTTATATATACGCTCATAAATGCCTCAGTAATTGCATGTATATATATAAAATTTAACTGACATATGAAATATATTTTATATTGTCGAATATTATAAAAATTACGTTTGTTGCAACATATATGCAACATATTCTCGTACGCAGATGTGATGACCAAACCCCAAAGCAGAAAATTAAGAAACAACGACGTTTCGGTCCGTCGACGTTTCGGTCCGTCGACGTTTCGGTCCGTCGACGTTTCGGTCCGTCGACGTTTCTTCATTTCCGTGTCATGGAGAGAGAGAGAGAGAGAGAGAGAGAGAGAGAGAGAGAGAGAGAGAGAGAGAGAGAGAGAGAGAGAGAGAGAGAGAGAGAGAGAATGAAAGTGTATACCACAATTGACTGGTATACAGTTTCCAAGACTTCCGGCGAGGTATTCCTGGATTACCTGTACTCGAGTGGTAGCCACGGAGATAGACAAAGTCTCATTTGGGCAGTAGTTAGCTGCCCTGGGAGCCTTCTCATGTTAAGGTTAACCCATAGTGCAGTTGGTGGCAGAGAGTACGCCTCTAATACCAGGGGATCAGATGTGTGTGTATATATATATATATATATATATATATATATATATATATATATATATATATATATATATATATATATAATGTGTATTTGTGTGTGTGTGTGTATGTGTGTGTGTATGTGTGCGTGAGAGTGGGTAAATCACGAAGAAATTAACGTGACGAATAATGTGACAATGTATAACCGCGAAGGAAAAGGAAGTCAGAAATTACTTGAGCACTTTCTTGTTAATCCACACATCTTCGAAATACTTCTGAAGGTGTGTGGATTAGCAAGAAAGTGCTTCAGTAATTTCTAGTGTTCTTATTTTCCTTCGTGGTTATAATTTGTGCTATGATGATATTCGGAGTAAGTTTTATAACTGCTTTCAACTTTATTTGCTCCTTTTATTTGTAGAATAGAATTTTGCTCATTATATTTGCTATTAAAAATGTATGTAAAGAATTTCTAAATAAATATGTAAATCCCTAATACGCATATAATGCTTTCTATCCTATGCTACAAGATTTTTGTACAGCATGTAGCTGTCTCCATGTAATGTCCTTACTTCAAGATGTGATCCGTTACTCCAAGATGGAATCCATTAAAGCATGTGATCTAGCATGATTGTTATAAGGCTATTTGGACTCGTGGACTGTGAAATTCAAAGGACTCACTGTAAGGTAGTCAACAGGCCAGGCTGCAGAAGAAAATCTCTCGAAAACGTCAGTAGGTAATCAATAGGTTCTATCTCTCTCTCTTAAATAGATAGAATAGAATATCTATCTCTATCAATTGAAAAGATTGCAATAATATCTAACGCCAGCACTCTTGGGCAAGTACACGAATACAAGGTCTCTTGGACCAGACCTGTCACAGGTATTCAAATACTCTGTACTTGATCAAGAAAACTGTTGCAGCATTAGTGGTTAACGGAAAACATTGATAAATTATATTCTCTGATTCAAAATACATTAGAATGCCATTTAAATTCAGTACAAGATGCAGGACTAAGTCCGGTATTTTCCTAAAGAAGATTCTTAGCACGTGATGCCGAATGATCTAATTGAATATGAGAGAGAAAACGGAACAGCATCAAAGCATAATCCTCATTATCGAGAGGATTATGAGAATCTTAAAACATGGGATGCCAAGCTGTATGTTTTACTCATCAATGAACCGGTTCTCTCACTCCTGGGATGTTGTTCGATGAACAGATCCACAAGGGCCGTGACGAGGATTCGAACCTACGTCCGGGAGCATCCCAGACACTGTCTTAATCGACTGAGCTACGACAGTGTTAAAAGTAGAACTTTTAACAGGGTTTCAGTAGAACTTTGGTTTCAACCCTTTTAACACTGTCGTAGCTCAGTCGATTTAGGCAGTGTCTGGGATGCTCCCGGACGCAGGTTCGAATCCTCGTCACGGCCCTTGTGGATTTGTTCCTTTGATGCATCACGTTAGCGTGATCTCTGTGTGTAAAGAACTAATTATTTCATGGGATGCTGTTCCGTATTCATAAAAGAGTTGAGTCTCTGATTCTCTCTTTCCTAACATGCTGCTCTGAACTCATCAAAGTGTTGATTCTTTTTTTCCTGAGATGCTGATCTGAACTCATCGAAGAACTGGTTCTCTCACATATGAGATGATGCAAAGTACTCATCTCCCCCTTATACGGCAGGCGAGATACTGAAAAACAAATAAGCTTCGATAACAATTTATTGAAGGTGACGATTCGCCTGTACAGATATCACCAGCGATATATGTCATCTTCAGAACAAACAAACCTGAAGTTAGTTTTTCTCTGCATCATCGTCAAATATTAACTTGAAGCTTATACATGTGGGTATAAATATATACCTGTGGGATGAAGAGAACTGCATCGTGTTCTCTTCAACCTAAAAGGAATATACAGAATCTGTCCTTGACTTGGTTGATCATACCTGATCAAACAGGCTGTGACTCATACGTCAGGCTGCGAGCAGCCGCGTCTAACAGCCTGGTTGATCAGTCCAGCAACCAGGAGGCCTGGTCGACGACCGGGACACTAAGCCCCGGAAGCACCTCAAGGTAACCTCAAGGACTTCTCGCCAGAATGAAGTAAACATATAAATTTCTGGGATCGCCTCAAAGCACTTAATGTTCTCCCGTTAAGGGAGACGAGAGAGCTGTCACATGATACCCAGCCAGAGCTTTGATCTCTCCGAGCAAAAATACCTAGTTTATGTAGTGCCTGGTAGGAAGCACGGCGCAAATCGATACACAAAAAGGAACTAGAATACGACGAATTGGGAAAGGAACGGTGCTCAACCACTTGGAATATCAGGAGTGACTGCGCGCCGATCTACAAGAAGGAAGACAGACTCTGTATCGACCAGTCCCAGAGGTTGGACGTTACAAGGTAGGGATGTAACGACACTCTTCCCCCAACACTCTGATACTTCTCTTGGAAGTTCTCACAACATCCTCTTCGCTGTCCTCTCATCCCGTCACCCTAATTCATCACACATCCTACGTCATTACTGCATTTATATTATAAAACTTATATCTAATTTATTCATTGATGAATTTTCTACTGTAGTTCGAATAAACCCGAAAATGACCTGGAATATCTGTTAGAAACTGATGGAAGATCTTTAATTAAATTACGGAATATTATTCTCAGATTAATATATAAATACAATTTTATTGGGTCTAAAATCAAGTGAGAAACAAAGAGGATCTCATTCTTGCGTCACACGTTCAGAGGTTTAGTGTTTCTCATTTGTGTTATCTTACCTAAGTTGAGTATTTATGACTCGTATGTTGGGCTTCAGCAAGATTATGTCCAATGTGTTTATCAACTTCGTCTCCGCTGTTAAACTTCAACAAAGATTTAACAGCGCAGAAGTTGTTAATCACGTTGGACTGAAGCCAACACACGCTTCATAAATACTCTTACATCGCTTAAGTGAGAAAGAAATGAGTAACACTTACTGGGTCAGCCAGAGACTTATCGCCCTCTCAGAAATATTGTTAAAAGACAAAGAAAACCAGAAAAAAATTTGGAGGTTGTGAATGCGAGACTGACATAAAAAGATGAGTTCGTGACGAAGGCACATTAAATATTCAAGTCTGTCTTTCGTCCATTAGAGGGGGATTGGGTGGGTACACTGGCCGAATGTACCCAGCGGATCCTTAGCTTGTGCTTGTCTAAGCTAAGGCCTAATGGCGCATTCTACGACTTGTTTCGAGCGTGTAGTCACTCCAAGACAATAATCCTCGTAGTTATCCTCGAGGATAACCTAACAACTCTCTATATTAAACGCAAGTAAAGGTCTATTCACCGAAATAAGACTTACACAGAGCCATGAATATATGTCTGATAGCACTAAATTTTGTTATCATATATATTCTATAAAAATCAAAAAGACATATGTAGATTTAAATAAATATCATTTATTAAGGAATCATCATAACCTCAAAAGGCACTCCTTATATGAAGTTGCTTTCGAAGCTAAATATTAAAAATTTTAGAAAAGATATTTAACTCTACCTGATAAAATATTGCAGATATCTTATCGGATAAAGAAAACCAGTGAAGGGCTTTTAGAAACCTCCATAACTAAGGTCAAGGCTCCTAAGATGGCTTGACCTCCTAACTAGTAAATGGATGGAAGATCATAGTAGTTCTTGCACGCGAGTGGCAAGAACTAAGTGGATAAAACTAGTAAATAAACAATGTAAAGTAGGAGGAGGAGGAGGAGAAGGAGGGTAAAGGTGTTCTTAATTAAGGAAGTTTGAGTTAGAAATATCGCAAACTTGGATAAACTGCATGTTTACTGAATAGCAAGGCAAAATCGCGCGTAGGAGTTTCCACCACAAGTAACTTAAAATTATAGTGTGTGTGTGTATGTGTGTGTGTGTGTGTGTGTGTGTGTGTGTGTGTGTGTGTGTGTGTGTGTGTGTGTGTGTGTGTGTGTGTGTGTGTGTGCATACCTATCAGTACTTACCTATCAGTTTATGCGGGGTGAGGGAGATCTAGCTGTTTTGTCCCGTTTACTTATCCTTGCTCTACCTGTTGCACTATAATTAAAAAAAATCACAGTTGAATTCTTTGGATAGCAGCGAGCCGCATGTTTGTTGGTAGAGCTCCAGGCTAGAGCTCCATGCTAGAGTTTCATGACAGAGCTTCTTACTTGAGTTTCATACTTCATGCTTGCCCCTAACGTCCAAATATTGCCTTACATACTTATCGAGCAATATTTTAAATTATCAACGGTTGAGGTTTGTGAAGGCCGTTATCGTATGCATTTTCACATATACCGCTGATGTTATCACACTTACAGTCCGTCTATATAACTAGAGTATACGGCAATCTTCACCCTCAGGGATCTCTGGCGTCTTAGGAGCCTTGTCTCTCAGTTCGATTGATTGATTGATGAAGATTAAGCCACCCAAGAGGAGGTACGGGTATGAATAGCCCGTAAGTGGTAGATTTTTATGGAGTGCTGAGATCACATTAAATCGACAGCCTGCTATCGCGGGGGAGGATACTGCTTGACAGTATTTATGAGGTTGTATGCTGGACATCTTTTATGACCAGGAGAGTGGCAGTGTCGATGGCAACAGGGTGGTTACTGCAAGATTCAGGAACTCTTAAAGCTCTTCTAAGGTGTTTGGTAGCTTTACATTCCAGGAGATAGTGAAGTAGAGGCTTATCAGTGATTGTTTGGCTGAAGATGCATTCCCTCTGTCTAGGTTCACCAATTTCCCCGTTCCATCTGTAACCTAGACGAAGTCTACATAACCGAACTGCTATTTCCCTGTGGATTCCTTTGGAATATTTGATTGACCTGCCGTCTCTCACTTGTTCCATATGCTACATAGCCGTAATGGATTGGGGTTTTCTCCCCTTTTCTTCTCACTTGCTCTTCCAAAACTGGACTTGTTTCCGTGTTTCCCATACTGATCACGTTACATTTGCTCTGGTTTAACTCAAGTATCCATTTAATTGACCAATTCTGAAGGGCTTCCATGTCATGCACTCGAAAATACGATTTAAGATATGAAGGATTCTGTCTATTCGAGAATGGTGTCCGTTCGCATGTGTAAGGAGACGGATTTTGTTTTATTTTCATTTAAGAAGGGGGGACTCGGAAGAGCAGCCACAAGCACCAATTGACATCCAGTGATGGAAAAGAATGTAAGAATCAGATCCGGAAATGATCAGCTAAAAAAAATGGAAATCCTGAAATATGAAGAGTAATATATTAGGGGGGTTGTAGAAGTGTGTTGGAACTAGTATGTAAGAATGTAGGAGTAAGCAGACCGCGTTCCTGAGTGAGAGAGAGAGAGAGAGAGAGAGAGAGAGAGAGAGAGAGAGAGAGAGAGAGAGAGAGAGAGAGAGAGAGAGAGAGAGAGAGAGAGCACTTGTCTTGGAGGTGTGAAATAACCAAACGGGGGAAGATGTTGGTCCTCGTCCGCATCACCTTTAGTTTTCTTGCAAGTAC